ACAAATATCTCTGAAGAAATTTCAGCATTTTGTTTTTATTTGTTGCGATAAGAATAAATTTTATTCATTCAGACTTGTGCATTCAATTTACTACGAACCCGTATGCTTGCAACAATATATATTGATAAGCCAATTTTCACAAGAGTATGTATTATTTAATGCTTTTTAATGAGGTGATTAAACTAATGACAGTGGATATATAATAGATCTAAGTTATTATGCATTGCAGTCAGTTTAATTAGATAATTTGGCTGACTTGTGTCACTAAGTTTGGGAAGAAATAAAAATATAACAGGTAAGTTCAGAAGTGGATGTAGAAACTTCCAAAAAATGCAGAGTATTGCTTTTAAATAATCTGAGGTACAGAGTTTGTCCAGAAAGTAGTAGGACTGAATGTTTTTTTAAAAATTTATTCATAATTTTTAAACATCAACTTAATAGTTTTCATTCCAGCTACTCTGCCAATCACTGAAGGCTCCTTGGAATGCAGAAACTGGAATATGTTCAGCTTTCTCGTTATGACCTCTTGAATGGCTTAGACTGAGCCATGATGCCATCCTTTCATGACCCTTTTCAGTTGGGGGAAGAGGAAGAAGTCTGAAGGAGCGACATCTGGACTGTAGGGTGGCTGGGGAAGCTGTGATGCCATGTTTGGTCAAGACGTTCTTGATAGAAAAGGTGGTGTGGCTTGGCACATTGTCATGATGGAGCCTCTATGATCCAGCGATTGCTGGACAGATGCAGACGACTCTTTTTCAGAGTGTCGAGTACAGGTACAGCTCATATGTCACTTCTTCAAACTTCTTCCTCTTTTCTTGATTGAAAAGGGTCATGAAAGGATGGCACCACAGCTCAGTCCAGGCCATTCAAGAGGGCGTAGCGAGGGAACGAAAGCATTACAGTTTCTGTGCTCTAGGGAGTATTCAATGATTGGCAGAGTCGCTGGTAATGTGTTGATGCAGAAGGGGCATATTTTGAAAACTTTTAAGTCAATAGTTCAAAATTATGAATGAATTTTTTTTTTTTTTTTTTTTTTTTTTTTTTTTTTTTTAATTTAGTTCTAATGCTTTCTGGACGAACCCTGTATTTTTCAAATAATTCTTTATTCTGTTCAGATAATCATGCAGATGGTATGCAAGTTTTTATATATGTAAGCAGGATCATGAAATAAATGAAAGCACTAATGAAATAATTTTAATTAGCTAATCTATTTTACTTTTTTTTAATGTCAGGTCCACCAGTGGCAGAGCAGTAAAGTTGCTGAACACAGGTAGATTGGTCTAAGGTTCGAATCCTGCGAGCAGGCTGGCTTCACGAGCATTTTCTCCAATGTGTATATGAGCCAGTGTCCCTTAGAAAGACTTCCAAGAAGGGATGTTTTTGTGGAGGACTTTCCAAGGGAAACTGATTCATATGCACATTTCACATGGGAAAGGCCACGAAAATGCCTCATGCAACCAGCCCGTTCACCTGAAACTGAACCCAGGTCAGAACTATTAGTGTTCAGCCATTTTACTGCTTGGCCAATGGTGAATTCGAAGTTTAAAAAGGCAGCAGCCATTGAATATTTTGAATGGAAATAGAAAAGTGTGAGTTAACAAGACTATTTTCTATTAAATAATCATTATTTCTTATATTTCAAACTAAGATTAAACTGTCATAAATTTTAGCACATTAAAATTAGAATATTCTGCATTTACTACATAACTAATTGAATAAAAATAAAGAACTGCTAACTAATTTACAAATGAAAAAGATTTTAAATTAGAATTTACTCACAGATTTAAGATCTTAGATTATTTATTAGTTTGTAGTTGACTACATTAATCTAATACAGAACATTTTTATTATTAATTATGAAACTAGAAAGGAACTATAACTTCAAAGCTGTTTCCTGTACTGCTTATGTAAATAAGTATATGATAAACTTAAAGCATCTAAATTAATTAGTAAATTGGAATAAAAGCAAGGCAATTCTTCTATAATACAATTGCAGTTTTTATATAAGAGTTATTAACATAATACCAAAACTAATAGAATTAACTAGGAAATTCATAGTAGAACAATCTCAAAATAAAAATTCGAAAGGGAAAATATACAAAATTATACAAATAAAAAATTAATCTCCTTTTATTGAAACTCCAGTTCAGAACTCATCAGGCGAAAATGAATTAAAGCTTCATAAAAGTCGATTAATATGTTTTGAAACTATGTTTCATTCTCCTGATGCATTTGAGATCAAAAACCGTTAAAAGATTTCATCCAATTTTTATTAAAGACTTGATTCCTATAAAAATGAAACCTCGAATCTCAAATGTACCAGAATTTTCCCTACACATTTTTGAAATACTTGAAGGAAAAAAAACATAAACTTACATAGTGCCAAAATGACTGTTAAAAAACCATAGAACTTAACATTATGTACATTAAAATTAAAAAAAAAAAAAAAAACTCTAAAACCAATGTATGAAACATACATGGTGCCAGAAGGACAGCTAAAAACAATAGAATGTTACATTATGTATATTAAAATTCAACAAAAATTTTTTTTAAAAATTGGTCTAAAACCAATATATGCTTATACGAAATTCAAAATTAAGTATAAATAAAGAGCAAAACTAATAAGCATTTAAACAAACCAAAAATTGGGAGGTCCCCAATTATGTTGAAACAAATTTTTTAGTCTCAAGAAAGTGAAAAACTGTACTTGGAGATTTTATAAATAAAAAGGTTAAAACTGAGCTTTGAACAGCTAAAAACCTATTTGAAACAATAATTGAAAAGCGTAAATTTGCTGAAATCTTACTGCATTCTAAAGATAACCAAATGGTGTTCTTGCTAAAGAAAGTAGAATTCAAACTGCTGTGGGGAAGCCGAAATTTCGTAGTTCTTGGAAAAAGTATGCGACAAGTTTAATCTGTCTAATGGTGGAACAAAGTATTTTAATAAATATATGATGATATGTAGATTAAAACTGATTTAAACAACCACCTATGGCTGTGGATAATTTTGGTCTCTGGAAGTAGTTATCTTAGAAGTTGATGATGGCATTTATAAATTTGGGTAATGGATTCATCATATTTCGAGCTTCAGAACCTCCTTAAAAAGTGTTTAAGTGTTGTATGGCAATTTATTAAAATTGTTATAGTAATAAAACTATGAATTAATAACAAAGATGCTTAGTGAATTCTGTTGTAAAATAAGTAAATAATGAATTACTTTACACCCAGTTTTCTAAAATATTCCCAGGTGAATAATTCTTAAAAATACAGAAAAGAAATCTTTTATGTAAAATAGGAAAACATAGTTAAAATTTTAAGTTCTAAATTTTATTTGGCAGTTTCAAAAACGTGCACTACCTTTGGAACAGAATGGCAGAAATATCTTCAATAACTTTTATTTATAGTTCTAAACTTGAAGCTTTTATTTTCTGATTTGCAAAAATTTTCACCTCCTAAAATCTTTCTTCCTTTAAAAAATATGCATAAATGCATTTGCACTGTCAACTTTGAAAGCAACTCAGTTAGTTGCATATTATCAAAAACAAAAATTAACTGTTTCTGACACCATTTCACTATTGATTTATTTTATAACACTAACTGCTCAGATAAAAAGTACAAAGTATAAATTTACAGAACTTTAATAAATTATTTTTAAAACGTTGGTTTATAATCCGAACAAAGCATATATGATAAATTACATTATCCTGGTTGGATAGACCTTGGGCGCTTCACCATATTCAGTTAAACGCTCAAGCAAACAGGATCAATTGATTGTATTTAATCCAAAGGAAGAAAGAAAAATATTCAAAAAATTAATAATTGACTACTTTGTTCCATAAAAGTAATTTTAGTACTACCTTAAGAACCAAAAGTTTTAATTCCTTTATTTATGTAGTACTTAAATTTACTTTAGTTTGCAAAATTAGATATTTTGATGGTTGTCACACTGTATATTTAACTGTCTTAACTGGATTAGAGATTCATCGGCTTAGAAAATATTATATAATTATCGATAGGGGTATGTTTGTTTATGTTCTCAGGAGTACTAAGGTTCACTGCTGCTGCAAAATTTTAAAAGCTCAGTTATTTGCTTCTTTATCAGTCAAATAGTTTCTGTTTAGTCTTGGTGTTATGCACTTAATAACTGAAAAATTTAATGCTCGTAGTTGTTATCTAGGTTGAAAAAAAGTGTTTGATAAGAATCTGTATTTTCTAAAAATTTATAGCTTAGTTCTTGCTTTATTTTATTTCGTACTTATACATTTTAGTATGTCCATGGGTTTTCTAGTGGATGAAAAATCACCAATTGTTTGGAGAGGACTTATGGTGATGTCTGCAATTGAAAGACTGTTTCGAAAGGTATCTATTTACTTTAAATAAACAATTTAGTTTTGTTCCTCTTTGAAGGAGTTATCTCCTTAACTATAATTAATACAGTCAAAAGTCTTTAATCCAGACTTGTTGGGACTTCGGCGATTCCGGATTCTCGGTTTTTCCGGATTATAGATCATCAGTTTAAATCTGGTAAAATGGCATGCAGAAATTATAAAATTAAAAATATGAAACCATAATTTATGAAATGAAGAGTTATGATGTAAAGGGTATCAAAATTTACAAAAAAAAGCTTAATATTTATTTGTTCTTATTAAACATTTCTTTAACCTCAACAGCATAAAGCATACATTCGCATAATCAAATAAAAAATTGCAACCAGAAACTATTTGATGTTATGCGTGATATCTTATAATGATGAGGAAATTGATTTAAATCATATTGAGATGGAGTTACATCGAGATGAAAACTACATTTAGTAAGGAATATAAGCCGAATTACCTTGAGATAAGGATAGTGCTGACAATCAACTTCAGTTAAGTGCGCACGCAAAGTCCCCCACCCCCCCGCCACAGCAGCGTGAAATTGATAAACAGATTTCGGAATGGTTAGGAAAAAGGATTATTGCCTATCATTTTTTGCAGCAATTCCTTTTTGTTGTGGAATCGAACATGCTTTCGCGTTTAGAGCCTTTGGCGCCCAGTACGAAATTCTTTTGACATAATCGAAAGTCAAGTTACTTTTATAAAATTGCTTCGTTACAAAAAATATAAGCGGAATCCAATTAGAAGATTAAGAACCCAATTTGCACTAACTAAATAGAAATTAGAAATTTTAGAGTAGCTTAACCGTGTTCGTTAAACATTAAACGCGCATGCGTAAACGTATTATGCGCATGTGTAAAGGTAAACGCAAATGCATTTACGCATGCGCAGAAAGTTTGTAGCTTTGAGGTTTGGATTATAGGATTATGGACGTCCGTATTAAAGACTTTTGACTTTATATAAAAGAAAAAAAATAGAAAAAATAAAATTCTATAAAAAACTTTTTCCTTATTTTAGTTCTGAAAGAAGTTTTGCTTGTGCAGGTTGCATGGGGTCCTCTGGATTATTTGATAGTAGATATGCCACCTGGTACTGGAGACACTCAACTGTCGATCTCACAAACAATACCTGTATCAGGTAGTTTCATATTTTGCTTACATTTTTTCATTTTTTAGAATAGTTATTAAAATTAAATCCCTAAGATCCTATATTTACTTAAAATAATAATGTACTTCTGTATAAAGTATATACTTATTGAAAGTGCATTAAAACAATTTCTTTTCTTTTCTTTTTTTTTAATATTAGAGAATACAGTTGAAACCCTGCTTTCGCCGTATTCAATTTAATGGGGAGGGGGAGGGTTAATTTTTACACTATTTCAAAAATAGTGTACAAATTAACAAACACTGATTAGTCTGAATGATCACACATGAAATGATGTCTGATGTATCGCACAAAAAGACTCATTAGTATTGTCTCATATCCCAAAAGAAGTTACGGATAAATTCATTTAAAAAAAGTTAATTACAATTATTATTACATGCAGTAAACTAGAGCCAGAGCACTAAGGCTCGAAGCCTCCCATACAAGGTTTGATAGAACTGAGACTCCAGGGCCTATCCAAGAGGGCACCACCCCTCCAGGCTGCTGTGAAGGGAATATATCCCTAGATAAAATTCTTCAGAGAAGAGACCGACGGCAACCATCACTAAGAAATCCACAGGGCTGATCTCAACTCCGACTACTCAAAACAAAGTTACAATTCCCACGTGAGAGGTCACCGCTCCCTCCCACAGTACTATTACTCAGACACCAGAACAGCCAGACTTCGTCCATCCCTCCACACCGACCGAGAGGAGCCAACCACCTCAGACGGCCGTTGAAATCTGACCATGTCAAGGTCCGAGACAAGACAGTACCAGTATGGTCCCTGCCAAGCCAGAACCAACCACCGAATAAACGATTTTCCTAATCTATGTGAAGACTGATTATTTGTTCTGCAGGCCGCTGTCAGACACAAGTTTAGCCAGTGATCTGGAAAACCCCGGGGTCTCTTCCCATAAATGGTCGGTTCCAGTAATTCCACGCAGTCGGACCACAGGGTTAGTTGCCCAGCACCCTTAGCCTATGCTAGCCAGCCTATCTCTAGCCTTTGCCAGTATAGTTACAAGGGGCTGCCACGAAGAGGACGATGCCGAACTGTGGGAGACAAGGCGAACCCCATCCCTCGGCACTCGCACCCTTAGAACAAACACCGGGTCTCCTTCCGCCAGTGGTCAGTTCCGGATATTTGTCCTCAGGTACGGGCACCGCCCGCCTATTATTACATGCAATTACTTAACTTCTTTTTTCTCTGTTTTTCTGTTTCACCTTATGTTAACAGTTTTATACACACATTCACATACACCCACATGCACACACAAAAAGCATAAATGTCATGATTTAAATCTGTTACATATTTCCATCTAAAATGCACATTTAACAATTATGAATAAGTCTTGAACAGAATGTTGTTTGATAGCTCAGTCAAAGAACTGATTCAAGCTCTTTGTCTCGATGGATCTGACTCAGTGTGTGAAATAGTAGATCTCCTAAGATATGTTGATGCCCACCAGTGGCTAAGTAGTAAAGTCACTGAACACTGATAGTTTAATCTGGATGTAATTCCAGGCAGTTTGGCTTACTGCATTGGGTGCTTTGATGGCTTGCCCCGTGTGTAATATGAATACGAGCCAGTTTAATGTAAAAAGTCTGCTACAAAGGCATCCCTTCTCTCAGGCAGATAGCCCTGTTGTACTTTGCCATAATCAAATAATCTAAACCTAAGGCATGTTTATTGCATGTGCTAGGTTTCCAAGAATTACCGTATTTGACGGCAT